AACTATGTATTAAAAACATACTTAAACAACACAATTGTTTATAAATGTAGCTTTGATAGATGTTTGAATATGGTTTCCAGTAACAAAAAAGTGTGTTATGATCGATTAAATGCACTGATACGTCATTGTGCCTGCTAAACATAACGCTGAGTGGAGTGGTGTACCGCTCCAAGATGGCCGCCCTAAATCTCGTCAGCGACAATAGGCGAGAGCGGTCCATGAGGCGTCTATCCTTATATTATGTCTATGCGGACAACAGCAATGGACGACGAAGCAGCTTCTCTTAGGGATTCATTTCTGCTCCAAGAAACGACCTGATTGGACACAGGAAAAAACTATTCCTGTTCCAAGTCTTGCTAAAAGTAGTTGGCTTGTTAGCGAAGGTATTGTAACCTAAAATAGCGTCTCAATGCTTAGCTTGTGGGAGCTAGCATAAGTTCCCAATGCTAATGTCACCGTCCACCGCATTTCTGACTGTCTGATGGTTGAATAACAGATTAAAAACAATAAATAGCTGTTGTTGAGCTCAGATGACTTTTTTTATAATTCAGCAGCAAAAAGGATTTTCTAATTGAAATGCTGGGTTATGTTGTCGATATACAGTTTTTAAGCAATTTCCCCTTGGAGATCAATGAATATATTCTATTATAAACCCTGCAATTAACTTGATTAAAAGTTTTAATCAAGTCCAATCACTAATTAATCATAATTTTCTAAATTGACCTTTTAGCCCACATACTCTTTCAAACTCAAAATTGAAACCAAGTATTGTAATTATGATTTTTAGTTTCATAATTATGACTTTTAAACCAATCTCTTGAATTTTATTTACTTTTCATAACTTTCAGACTGAACATATGTGCAACTTTAAATCTGACAATAATTTGTTTAAAGAATTTTTTTACTCAAAATTAAACAATTAAAAATAGAAACAATAATAAAAATATATTACTTCAAATCTCATGAATGTGATATTAATCAAACTGTCTCATAATTAGGACATTTTGTAATATTTCTGCTCATAAGAAAACAGAAAATTAACAAACTACGAATGAAAAGTGAGGTGTCATTTTCCTACCTACAGATTTTCCCAACACTGAATAAATTAAAGGCTGAATTTTTAAACATTTTCCAGTGGTAGATCATGCCTCTTCATTAAAAGATGAATTAACCATCTGTTATTTCTGAATCAACCATGCGTGTGCGCACCTCAACGAGCTGATGCCAGTGCTCTATTGGTTTCCGAGGGTTTGCCAACATGGCCGCCCAGTGTTCCCTCCCGGGACCGTCGGCGTCGCTGCCCACTCGACACATGCCTATAACCTCGTTGTGACCGATGCTGACAGCGAGAGGAGACAAGAAAGGACAAGTAGAGTTTCACAAAAATGAAGGGAAGCTCTTTTATTGGCTTTGAAGGAGACCTATTATGCAAAATTCACATTTTGAACATTTTTATACTTTCATACAAGTATAAAAACAGTCCAAGTACTTAAAAAAACGACCACTGAGCTGGTTTTTGTCATTAAGTTAATGTTTCCTGGATTTCTGGAAAATCAGCCATTTGAAAAACCTTATAGATGTAAAAATGAAACCTGCAAATGGAAGTTTTATTAATTTAGTGCAGTGCGCTCCAGCAACTGCAAAAATAACGCAGAAAAACTGTTGAACAACTCAAAATGGCTGAAATTCGTCGTTTTTCTCACTCTGTGTCGATTATGCTACACGAAGACCCGTTGCCATAGCAACTGACTGACAACAGCTCCACAAATGTATCAGGACTCGACGCCAAAAAACACGAAAACATTTCCCACACAAACGACAGAACGTTCAGGCTGTTACAATTTAATGTTTTCAGGCTTGCTGTTTATTTTTCTGATGATTAATGTAACTGGTTTCGACCAACCGTTGATTCTGATTGAACACAAACTGTGGTTGATTTGCCAATTTAAACACACACTCTGATCTGTCAGAGTTGGTGTTACGGTCGCCGTTTTTTTTTTTTTTTTTTTTAAATTGAACTGAAACAGACCGAATTCTGCAGCACATCTTCATGTTAAGATGACCAAAGTCAAGCTAGCATAACTGAGCTACTTTGTTCTCCCTCGCTATTTTTTTAAAAACTTTTTCCAGACCTGCGAGATGTAACATCCTTTAACCTGTTACCTAGTTGACAGTTTTTCTCCTATATATTATGTGTAAATTTCAAATTTAGCGCGTTATTTTGATAAATTGACAGCTAAAACCAAAGTTAGTCTTTGTCAGTTAGCAGTTTCTTGCCCTCTAGCAGGGAGATGGACGTTTGTGACGTCATGTTGAAATGTGTCTATATTTGCACATCTGTTTGCAGACATTTAACTTGCGAGTGTAAATGTTGAGTTGGGGGGGGCGGGGTGGCCAGCAGATAATTTGGATTCAAAGTGAGAGGACCCTAAAACAGCACATTTTGAAAAGAGATCAAAATCCTTTCAGTGTGTAGATTGTAGGCGCATCGTAAACTGTTCACATAAGCATAATAGGTCACCTTTAAGCTTTGGAGAAAAGATTGGCAGGGGTTGGAAGGACATCAGGCAGACATGAACACCTATACAGAGGCCAAGTGCTGCGTCTACTCAGCATAACAGGGAGGCGGTGCAATTATACACAAACACATAAAGCAGCCAAGTGACGCTGCAAGTGACTGTGAGATAAACATTGGCAGGGCCGCACGTCTTCCTTCCCCATTAGCATAAATCATGCTTATTCATGAGCTGCCCATCTATGTAAAACAGGGATCATTCAGCAGGAGGGGGGCGTCTTGCAGGAGGCCCCTCGTCATGTTCGACAGCGGGCCCCAAAATCAAACATGCCGCATGCACAGACTTTTGACAAACAGCTGCTTCCCAGTTACGATCAGCCTGTTGTCGAAGCGCCCGGAGCGAGCGGCGACTGAACAGCGCCTCACCAATCATAATCCATCACTGCTATGATGATGGAGACGCTCTCGATGTTTTCATTGGGAATGTCAAACACCAGCGCCTCGTTGTACGTGGGATTCAGCGTGTTCTTCTTAATGGAGGTCTTCCTCTTTTTTAGCCGCCGTCCGTCACATATCAGGGACGCCTTCACGTACGGGTCTGGAGAGAAAAACGGGAATTAGTTGTAGAGGAAGAAGACACACGCAGGATGGAAGCACGGAGCGTGAGATAAGAGTTCACGCGTATCTGCATCTGTCACACATGAAAGCTGGTGAGAATCGAGTCGCCGAGGCAAAGCTGGATTAGCAACACAAAGGGAGGGGAGAAGCAGAACTGGTCGGATCCCGTCGCTCAGTGACAGCAGCCGGGAATAATCACAAGCATCCGAGTTCCTCTACTACGTGTCGGTATCTTCTGATGCTCTTAAATCATGCTGAGATCAATGGGGCAATAATAACAGCACGTAGGCGTAATCTGTTGGTGTGTGCAACAACAAAAAAATCGCTCCCATCTCATGCATTATTTAGTTTCTAATCCTTATTACACCATTTGTTACCTTTCTCTAGACATGCTTTCAGATTGTGCAACATTAAGTAAAACTGGCAACAACATTGAGGGTTTAAATTCAGCGGCTTGCAGAAGTATTCACACCCCTTGATTTCCTCTTGTTACAATGACAACCTTCAATTTGTTTTAGATTTCATATTGTATATAACATTTCTGTAAGTAGATTTGGATTTAGAAGTTGTAATTTTGTCCTAATTTTTTCTTGAAATGTGGTCTGGGGACCACAAAAAAAAAAAAAAAAGAAAAATCAGTCCAGGGTCTGGAAATGGCCCTCGGGCCACACGTTGAGCACCCTTGGGTTTAATCAAAGTTTATCTGCAACTTCTAAGAGATTCAGTCTGGATCTGTGTCATATCGACTCAGATTCCCTTTCTGCATCTTAACCTTTTCCACACTGGCTTATTAGGGCCAAAGTAGGTAGAAAAATTCAGATTTTCTAGCGAATATAAGGAAATTTCTGAGCTCCTAAAATTTGTTAGAAAAAAAACTCAGGAACTCAGAGAGTCATCTCAGAAATTTTCAATAAACAAGGAAATTTTGAGTTTGAAAAGTCAAAAATATTTGACTTTTTAAACTTAGAAAGTTTTCCAACAGTCAAAATCACTTTTCAAACTTAGAAAAATTCCAGCAGTCAAAAATTTTTGACTTTTGAATCAAGTTTTTTCTAGAAAATTTCAGAGATTAATCAGTTTTTTGGTGGACATTTACTCTTTTTTATTATTTAGCCATTGTACTGTACTTCTTTTATCCAAAGGATTCTTCATTTCCTCAATAAGTCCATCTAAACTGTTTCAGCTGTTTTACCCTGAAGGATGGGCAGAAATTTTAACCGCTTCATGTGCAAACTTTGATATAACAATGCCCCCTACTGGCCAGCAGCTGTAACTACAGCATATCAACTCAGTGGGGCTGAATACAAATGCAAGCCACACTTTTAAGATTTCCATTTGTAAAAGAAAATAAATACATAAAATATTCTTTTATCTTTGTAATCCTATATAGCTTTCCTTTATGTATGAAATATATTTCCAACCAAACTTAAAAAGAATCGTAGAAAACAGTGGGAGTTTGCTGTAGACTTAATGACTGGTGTCTAAATGAAATTGTAACGTGTCATTGAATTAGATTATTAAAATCTGATGAGGCTCCAAATGCTTCTAAATTACCACTTCATGGAGAAAGCTTTGAACAAAAGCAGGAGTTTTTAGAGGGAGCCGCTTCCTGTAAATGTGTTGATGACCTCATGATGTGCAGTTTGTTCACCTGAGAAACCTGTCAGGTCCATGGCTTTGAGGTTGGTGGCCTTGATGATTGTAGCGGTGAGTCTGCCTGCGGTGGGCAGGTAACACAGCGAGAAATTAAGCTCCCCGAGATCAGCCTTCTCCTGCAGACAGACACACGAACAGAGATGAGAAGGCAGGTGGAGACGCTCTGATCCGAACAGATTCAGCTGGAAAAAACACCGACGGACACACAGATCTGACCCTGAACACAGATCCCTCTGTCACCAAGGGAGCCTGGGATTCAGCTAAAGGAAAGTCACTTGAGATGCAAGTTGATTGATCTAATTGATTGATTTTCATAAGCGGACAATTTCTGAAAAACCTGAGATTTCACTTGTATCAAGTACAGCTGGATAATAAACCAATAATAATATATATCATCATCTACACATGATCAATAAAGTGGTAAATATTGGCAAATACAATAGAAAAATATCTACACAAGTGTGATATAAAGTGTATGTATGTATAAAATAAATATACACTTAAATTAATAAATAAAACGAGAAAACACATGGAAAAATATTAACTTATAAATAAATCTATAAATGAGCAGTATAATGCAGCTGAAAAAATATTCAACATTCAATCTACAGGACATTCACGTTGATCCAGATCCGTCCAGCATTCTGGGAAATGATCAACCTGTCACGGCTTGCTGAGCTAGCTTGGTGGAATCTACTGACTCACTCATTCTTCGGTTACCTAGCAACAACTTGTTTCAAGTTCCGCCCTGCTTTGGTTACCTAGCAACAACTTGTTTCGGTAAGGCTTTATTTGAAGGGGGGAGGATAAGGCTGACATGACACTGTCATAAACATGACATAACATCTGTCATGAACATCAATAAGCCTTCATGAATATTTATGACTGTTGTCATAAAGCGTCATTCGGTAAATTATGACACTTTTAATACAAAGTTGACATTATTCAAAATGTCTGTCATGACAACTTGACATTAACCAATAAATGATTATTGATATAAATTTGTTATAAAAGTATTACTGACTGCACTTTAAAAATTAGGTATCTTTATGTTATTAAAGGTAAAGTTTAAACAGTAATGATTTCTTAGTTAATGTCAAGTTGTCATAACAAAGACATTTTGAATAATGTCAACTTTGTATTAAAAGTGTCATAATTTACCGAATGACGCTTTATGACAACAGTCATAAATATTCATGAAGGCTTATTCATGTTCATGACAGGTGTCATGTCATGTTTATGACGGTGTCATGACAGTCTTATTCACCCCCCTTCAAATAAAGTGTTACCCTTGTTTCAAGTTCCGCCCAGCTTTGGTTACCTAGCAACACCCTGTTGAGCAGTTTCAGGTTTCCCTGCTGAGCCTCATAGGTGATTAAAAATAAAAAAAATCAACAGTGTGGAATGGAAACTGGACAAAACAGGAAAGGTCACACCACCAATTTGGCACTATTTCAGATATTTAAAGCACAAACGTAATCAATGATTATTAATATTGACTAATATGAGACAATTATAGTGTGATACTATTTCAGCCACACCATCTGGCCGTAGTATTAAGAGGATCACTGTCTTTCCATCACTTATATTTATATTTTAACAGTTTTTTTTCAGCTGTGTTAAACTCTGACTGCATAAACAGATAATTGTGTTTTTCTCACATTATTAAACTTATTCATATTTATAAAATATAACAAAATAGGAACCTGTTAGGTTGCTAACTTAAAAGATGAAAATATTTGAAATACTTAATTCCTCATGAACAAAGATCAGTTCATGCAGAACTACTGTCAGTGATAAAAAAACAAAGATTTTACTGTATGACTGAGTATTAGGGCCACATATTATTAAAAACATGAAATAATGAGATTAAAGTTATGTAAACACAGAAATAACATCATAATATAAAGAGTTTAAATTTGTATGAGACTAAAATCAAAATAAGTGAAACAGTATTCAGAGAATAACGTCAACATTTTAAATTTAAGTCAAAATAATACCAGAAAAAAGTTGTAATATTCTCATAATAAAGTCGTAATATGTGGATCATTTCTCTTTCCTGTTCTGAGATATGGCCGCCATCTTTGTTTCTGTATCAACTGGCTCTGCTTAACGATAACCAGCGACGCCCTCTGCTGGTTGGAGGATAAACTGCAACACTAATATAAGGCATAAGCAGAAGTTATTAGTTAAACGATTGGAATTAATTTCAATCTAATAACTTATGAAATGGCAGTCAATTGTAAGATTTATATTTTTTATCTTCCCTGCCTTCTTCCATTAAAATCCCTGCTTTCCGGTCAGAGTCGCACTCATCAACACTTCCTCAGGTGAAGCACTGATATACACTGATGCTTTAAACTTATTTAATAAATTAGACCCTGGTGCCAACATTTTTAAAGCTCTGCTCCGTCTAATTTGCTAATAGCCTTCCATGAATATTTCATATAAATCAAGTTGGACGTAAACCAATACAAAGTTTGGATTCGGCCTGCATTCGGCCTCCTTCCCAGTAATCTATACAGACTCTCTTTAGATGATTTTTCACACGACCAGACTTTAATCAATCTATCCTGCAGGCTGACTGTTTTCCATACGGACCGCTCCTCCGAGAGCAGAAACCAGACTGGATTTACCGTCGAAACCTGAGCATGCCACCGTTCCGACTGGATCCAGAACCGCCCAGCTGAATCAGAGCAACAGGAAGCAGTTCAGCACTTTGATCAGACGAGATCGGAGGTCCAGTTAAAGCCTCGGGGTCTTAATGCTGGGAGAGGAGTGGCGACTTGTTTGCCTTACATAAATATATTGAGTTTTAGTCTGTTGAACTATTGATCTCAGATTACTGCGAGTGAATCTAATATTTTGAAAATAACTTTCCTGAATGAGGTTTTTGGAATAGAAATGCAAATTATGTGGATTTCTAACTCAAAGAAATCATATAAAACAAACAACAGCTGGATCAGTCTATTTACTGTGGCAGCTGCTGTTTATTAAGGTATTTAACTGGATTAATTAAACTACTTTAAATTGTCTATAAAGTTTAAATTATTTCAGTGCAGATTCAAAACGTAATGCGACGATGGATGCTAGCTTCTGCTGTAGCGCTAAAACAGTTTCCACAGAGCGTATTAATGCATATTAAGGTATATTTTGTTTGATTTATTAAAATAGGCAGTTTTTAGCATTTTTATAGAGGGTTTCAAGTATTTGCTGGTTTAACTATTTGCAGGTAGCTGTAAATAATCTAAATATGAGATAAACCACAGTGAATTTATAATATACTATAATATAATTTATGTCATACAGATTTTTTTAAGTTAGAGTCATCTCTTTCTGCTTTTACTCCAACTAAAGTCAGACTATTCACTTCAGGAAGCCAGTCGTCACTTAATGGCAGCAACTCGTCTCAGCGCCTCTAGTGGCAGGAAGGAGAATTACAAAAACAAACAGTTATGCATAAAAGTGTCTCCTTCAGGACTGAAAAATGTTTAATCAAATTAAAAAATGTAACTGATTAGACTTAATGAAGTTCTTTTTTTCCATTTGCTTCCATTTGAAGGCCAAACAAATTTCAAAACTCAGAATCTTTCACAAAAAAAGTTTTAGCCTGTTAAAATAAATTTTTAAACAACATATTTTATTTAGCTGCCATGTAGGTATCCATATACGTCATTTATTAAACATGACTGAGACAAACAAACAGACGCAGCCATACTGCTACAAGAAAACAGACTTACCAAAAACAAAACACAACAAAACTCAGTCTGAGGAAAGAAAAATTCAGTTGAGTCAGATTATTTTGACGCGGCTCCGGCGCGTTCAGCTACACCAACATTACGCCTTCATGATGAAACCACCACATCTCTGTTTCAATAAATCATTTTGAGCAGCAGGAGGATGTGAGCAGATTGTAAAACACAGCAAACTTTTACAATTTTATAAATTTTTAGTTTTAATTTAGTCATTGTTGGATTATGAGACAAATAAGCAACAGTTTTATTTATGGAAGATGCCCATCATGTGATTTTAACAGATTTTTATCTGTTACACTATGTAGGTTTATTCATTCATTCATTCATTCATCACAGAAAACATAAAATGCTTAACGTTAACACTTTAACGGTAAGATTTACAAAATGAGCTAAATCAGACCTGAGCCATCAGAGACACAAAGACAAATACAATGTCGGTCTTCTATCACCTGAAGAACATTTCCAGGAGTAAAGCACTAATGTTTCAGCAATATCTAGAGAAACTCATGCATTTGTTTTGCTTTAGTCTCATTAATTAAAGCAATAAAGTCTTTACAGGTCAGCCTAGAAAATCAACCCTCCAGCTGCAGCTGATCCAGAACGCTGCTGCTGGCATTCTGACTAAAACCAGGAAGACAGAGCACATCCGTCCAGTTCTGAACGCCTTACTCTGCAGCTTCTCTTCGTCAGAAGAGCCTTTTTAGAAATTTTATAACTGCACTGAAACACACCGAATTCCACAGCACATCTACATGCAAGATTTTCAAAGTCAAGCTAGCATAGTTGACCTACTTTCATCAGCCTCTCTATTTTTTCTTATTTAAAGCATTTCTTGACCTTTCATCTCATTGTAGAAGCTAGTGTTGACAACTGACAAGTAGCAAAGCACTGTTTCACTTTTTTTATGTACATTTAAGATTTAGCTTGGTATATTGATAATTTAACAGCTAAAACCAATGGTAGTCTTCATTAGCAAGCAGCTTTTTGCCGGGACTTTCGCCCATGACGTCACGCTGCAACATGTTTATAAAACTGAATTTGACTAACCAACACAACCTTCGAGTCACACGGACTCTGAGCGTTTCTCGGTTCGTGTCTTACCGCCGTTCCCTCCACGATGTCCCTCCAGATGGGTTTGTCCCCGCTGCCCTCGCTGAAGTCCAGCAGGTTGTCCACCACCACCTGACCTATCAGGTCGTGTCTGGAGAAGCGGTCGAAGTCGTACACGGAGAAATGCAGCTTCCTGGAATGTAGCTCGTTCAGCGGCACGCCGAACTGGAACGTCTCGTTGAACACTGGGTTTAAGGTCTTTCTGTGGACCTGAGAGACACACCGGCAAATTTAGAAAACACTCAGAGGAAATATAGCCTTTTAAATATGGTGTGATAGATGAGAGGAGCATGCTAATTTAATTGAAGTTTTAAAAGTCTCCTTTAGAGGAAAATTATCCGCTACATACTGCTCATCAAGAACTATTCTGACAGGATGCATCAGCCATAAAACTCACTACTACTAACGTTTATGAATCTGAAAAGATGCAATTAAAATCTATATTTCTCCAGAGAAAATAATTATTCCTCAGTGGAAAACTTTCCCAGAAGTGGACACCTCAGCAAAGTCATCCCAAAGATCAGACCGAGCGACATCTACAGGTTAATCAGCATCTTAAATAAAAATATTTAGAAAAAGACTGAAGGAGAAAGGGCAAAGTTGCAGCTTTAGGAAACTCGAAAAACTTGAACAGTAAAGATGTCTGATCGCAGCTACGTTGGTAGAAAAACCCCAAACGTTTCATACAAACTGTTTAGATGATGCCCTTTGAATACTTTTTACCTTTCTTCTTTGAAAACTTTCATGTTTTTTGACTCAAATTCGATTTGTTTATGTTGTTCTGTTTGCCTTAAAAATCACATTTGGCCAATTTAAACGGCATTTATCGGTATAATTAGACCAGATTGTTGAGAAAAGTGAGATCTTTAAAAAATGAGCAGTAAAAATAAAAGGCTACATGTAATAACTATTTAAATAAAACAGTTTAATTGCTTCAATACTTTTAACCACCTGCTATTAATAATTTTACTGCCCTCAGCAATTATGAAATGGACACAGTAAATAGAAAGAGACGTATTCAGACCCTCCTCCTCGTATTCATTAATAATTGCCTCTGGCCAGGAGTCCAGACGAACGCCGGGTTCATGCTAAATAATTACACAGTAACTTGAGAGCTGCATTGTATGGCATCAGCCCTGATTATTAAATAATCATTCTGACATTTGAGTCTTTCCATTGATTACTTTGTTGCAGTTTCAGAAGCGAGCCGAGGTTCCTCAGAGGAAAACCAGAGACTTTTTTAAGACAATCATCACAGTTTGTACCTTCGTCTCTCCAGCTAAAACACACAGAAAAAAAAACATTTCCCTGGGATTCATGTCTTTTAAAACACGCTGAGTTTTCACTCCGACTGCTGTGATGATTGATTAAAATATCCAACAAGTGTTTGCTTTGTCCTTTCCTCTCGCCGTGCCTGTGGCGAAACACAAACCTTTTTTATCCGAAACATTTTGGAAACATAAGCGGCACCGGTTTCTGGAAACCTGTTGAGAATTCGACTGAAGAGAAACAAAACCATCACTGGTGAAAATTTCTCCGCTTCACCGATCAGTTGTCTCCGTCTGTCAAAAATTTGCATTAGTTTAGTTTAGAGTTGCTTTTGTACCGTAATAAATGGAACATTGACCAACATATTTAATGATTTTTATGATTGACAAAATGTAACGTTTATTACTGGTTTCTCAAACTGTAGGTTGTTTTAATGACTTTCTATCTTAGAGTTGTGAACTATAAATGTGCTCTAAAAATTAATTTGATTGATTGATAAAAAAAATAGACCTGTCACAATAACACATTTTGTTGAACAGTAAATTGTCCCAGAAATTCATAATATTGTTTTGAGACCATTTTGAAGTAATATTAAAGTAATACAGCACAGCCTCTCTAAGATCAATAAACTTTAAATTCTAATTAGCATTTAACACTGGAAATGGAAAACATTGTAAATATCCAAAATAAATAAATCAACAAATAAAATGGACACTGAAGTCTCTGTAAACAAAATTATTCTTCAAAAAGAGAAGCAAGTTGAGACCAAAGCACCAGACTTTGGTGGAAATAGAGACATGAGAAGAAAAAACAATTATGGAAATGGAAAATATCATGCAATTAATTTATTTATTGCTTATTGCAACAAGCTTACCAACAAATTACAGTTTGGAGGTATATATTATAATATCTTGTTGGACAATGACTGTTTTAGTGAAACTTGAATTTTTAAAGTGAACAACACTTTCAACAGTGTTGTTCACTGCTTAATATGGACTCAGAATATGATATCTTCAGTAATTTTTCATGGATTAAAGTGGAATAAATGTGACAAAATTCTGGAAAAAGATTTTCAAAGGAACCTAAAAATGGCTTCATAAATTGTGGATTAAGTCTAAACTCCACACCGACTCATACGTCAAGTTCAAGGACCTTTTAATGTCAGAATAATTCATAAATACAAAATAAGTGGCTTACCAGACAGGAAAAACAATCATTTGGAAATGTATGGGCCAATACACTGAAAATGAACAAAAAAAGCAGCCAAAGTTCAGAGAAAACATTAAAAGACCCCCAGAGACCCTCAACTATTGATCAAAGATCATAAGAAAGTCTGGCTGCCTGGTTGGAGAGGAGATAAAGAAAAGACGGATGACTCACGGATGAAAAGTGCATTTAAACCTTAACCCATGGCCTGACCTTATTCCTGTGCCGGAAGGATAAAAATGAATTTCTTTATTCCATTTTGGAGAGAATGATCAAAACAAATCCACTGAATTGAAGCAAGAAGTTTAAAAGGGAAGGTTCTCATTTCTCTTTTTATGTGACTGTGCTCAAAACTTCTTCATCTTTTCCAGGTCAACTAAAAGCTCAAATGAGAAATAAGATTGCTGATTTCATTTGTAACATTTTCCTGAACCTCATCTGCCTTCAAACTCCTCCAATTCAATCAATCAAAGTTTATTTTTATAGCACATTTCAGCAAAAAGGCAGTTCAAAGTGCTTTATATCATAAAAACACAAAAAACATTACATTTTTCCAAAATGTTGTCTAGTGTTTCATTAATTACAGTACAAAAGCAAATCTAAACAGGCGGGTTATTAGTCTAGATTTAAAGAAACTCAGAGTTTCGGCTGTTTTGCGATTTTCCGGAAGTTTGTTCCAGATTTGTGGTGCGTAGAAGCTGCTGATGTTCCTATAAATCATCAGAATCATCAAGTAAATCACCAAATTGGGATAGATTTGCTGGAAAAGCCTTTGGTATAAATCTTGTCGAGGAGTAAACACTCACTACCTAGCTTCGGTTGCTAGGTAACGGGCGGAGTTCCGCTGGGGTTGCTAGGTAACGGGCGGAGTTCCGCTGGGGTTGCTAGGTAACGGTTCTTTGCTGGGTGAGGCTCAGTGCCGTTGGGGTTTGTGACTTTGCATTTGGAAGGTTTTTGAAACGTCACATGACTTTCCAGACACCAACAGAAATGAAAACGAAGACTTTCCACCACAGCGGGTCTGTCAGTCCGGTTTATCAGCACCTGATGGTCGCCAAACATGCGTCTGATGGCGAAGCGCCGGCTCTTAGAAACACAAACCCCTCCGAACATCTTTCTGTGAGCCGGCGTCACAATCAGTCGGCGGGGTGCGTGATAAAAGAGCTCCAAATATGAAAGGTGTAAAATTTCAATGTTAATGAGGGTGTGATTGAAATTAAACAATCAGACACACTTCAAACAAAAAAAATGGGAGCCACATTATGTAAATTACAGAAGCATTCATGGTTTTCAAAGGCTGAGGGATCTTTTGTTGCACGCAAGAGACAGCTGAACAAAAGGCGAAACCAAGAGGGAGCTTCTTCTAACGGCTACAGCTTCATCGGAGACGTTAGCTTCTGCTTTTCACTCTGTCCCACTTCTGTGACTGTTCCAGTGGTGTTTATGGATACAACTTCACTGCCATATATCACATTTGGAAGTAGTTATGTTGAGTTTCTCCACAGAGGATAGCTGAGACAGAGGGAGGTTGATTCTTTGGAGCAAAAGGAACATTTTCTGATACAGAATATCCTGAAATGTTCTCAAATATTACCTCAAGCCGGGTGGGAATTATACGACAGCTAGCGAAGGTCTGACTTAATATTTTTCCAAATATAAAAGCTCTTCAGTAAACTGTTTTCTTGTTTTAGTTTAAAGCCAACCAATTCTTGAACAAGTTAGGATAGGTCAATGGTTTACACAAAACATGTTCATAAGATTTTTGCACAAAATAATTTTTAGATAATGAGATTTTAGTCTACTCAGTTCTGCTTCTTGTTGCTTTAAATCCAAATAAGCTGCTGCCTCCAACTCAACATTTACACTCAGGTGAAAATGGCTACAAACAGATGCACAATTATACAACCATAGTTATTTGAAAAGCAGAAGTGCAGCCTCCTGCACAACCAACAAGAATGCAGCAAGTGGTTTCTGGATGGTAAGTCAACAATAAAACCCTCGTCTTTTCCAGCCACCATTGTAAACCAAAAGTCATGGAGCTCTGCTGGGGTTGCTAGGTAACAGGGCAGAAGGTGCCCTGTTACATTCGGGAGGCTTGTGAAACTAATCATTTTCCAGACACCAAAAAATATCAGTTGTTTTTTTAAGCACTTAGAGTTGAGACCCAAAAATGTGCAAAATGTAAATTTTGCACATTTTTCACATTTTTGAACCAGACATTCCATTTTAATGTCTGCCATCTGTACGGATTACAATGAACAAACTATTCTGGTGCAAGGCAGCAGAAGCTGACTAACAGCACATTGTACTGAGACGAGTCCCCAAATCCAGCCCTCCAGAGATCCTGGAGTTTTAGAAGCACCCCTTCTTCAACACACCTAATCAGGATGTCATTCAGCTCTGCAAAGGCCTGGTAACAAGCTATTCATTTGATCCAATGGTGCTGGATAAGGGCTGCTTCAAAAAGCTGCAGGATGGCAGCTCTGGAGAACCCCACATCTACTGGAAATGGGTCCTATTCAGCTTCTCAGTCCCGTCCTGGTGATTGGCACATAGGAAATGAAAAAGTCTGACATTTTTCCAATCAGTAAACACATCTTACCTTTAAATTCATGCTAATCTTCAGGGTTGATGTTGTTACACAAGGAACAAGACTCAAAGTTAGTTAGCTACTTTTAGTATCAATGAGGTGCTAAAACCTTAAAAGTAAAAAAACATTTCTGTGGAGTCATATTAGTCGTTCATTAGAGCAAAGCTAGAGAGAGAAGGACTTCTGTGAGTCTGCAACCTACGAGCAACAGAGTCAGGTTTACCAACTGGTACAACTGACCATGTGTTTTCTAAAGCCATTATTAGTAGAAGAAGAACTGAACAGCATCAGATCTGTGGCGTAAAGCTGCTGGAAGAAAGAACCAGACATTCTGAAACTGAACCAAGGGATGTCATAAAACAACAACGGTGAGTTTTATCTGGTTAGTGGGGACATATTGTGTAAAATTCACTTTTCACACGTTTTAAAACTGTTATTTTGAGTCTCAATTGCTTCTAAAAACAAACCAAAGTGCTTAAAACAAAAAACAACCATCCACCTGTTTATGTTTTTTGCCGTCTGGAAAATGAGCTGGTTCAAAAACACCCGAAATGTAACGTCACATATCAGCAGACACTGCCTGTTGCCTAGCAACCCCAGCAGAGCTCTGCCCCGTAACCTAGCAACCCAAGCTGAGTGCCAGTAGCTTTGGTCAGCTGATTTTACTGCTGTACAATGGCTGCTGGAACAGACAAGTGTTTTGTTGTTGACTCACCATCCAGAAACCACTTGCTGCATTCCTGTTGGTTGTGCAGGAGGCTCTACTTATGCTTTTCAAAGATGTACAGTTGCATAATTATACATCTTTTTGCAGCCATTTCCACCTGAGAGTGTAAACATTGAGCTGGGGGGCATGGCCTGCAGCAGATTATTTGGATTTATAGTGAGAAGATGCTCTAAAACAGAATGATTTTGAATATGCAGTGAACATGTTTTGTGTAGACCGTAAGCCGATCCCAACCTGTTCAAGGAAGCTTAATTGGTCACCTGTGGCAACCAATAGGCCCAAACAACCTCTCAGTTGTTTCCACTCTGGACAAACCAGAAGGAAAGATGAGTTTATTAAACCTTGGATCTTTATGAAATGCTGCATTGAAAAGTATTGTTATTTTTTATTAATCTGTTGTGTTTATATTATAGTTGCAAAGGTAAAGCACCTCCGGCCATTTGCTTTAAGCTCAAAGTTATGCAGGTTCCCATTCACTCTGACAGTTTCCACAACGCAACTAAGATTCTCTGAAGGGAAAATTCATTTAACATTCACTTTTCTGCACCAGCAACAGAAAGCAGCACCATCTTTATATTAAATATGAACCAAAACTACAAATGAAGGGAACATAACCCCTCCAATAAATAATTTTTACCTCTTTTAGCAGGACTACTCGTCTTAATTAGACTTTCTGTTCCCTCTAACTTTAGATCTACAGTGTATTTTTTATCCACAGCCGTCATCTTATTTAGTTTTTAATGACATCTCAGAGGCACTGAAGCATCACATTTCAGAGTTTATCAATTCACTTTGTTCAGGTCTATCAGTAGCTTGTTCACTGCTCTCAGATTGCTCCAGTTTTACGTCGTGACTTATGGTATCATTACAATACGGCATCCAGCAGGGCTCAATTCCAGGTTTTTCTTTTTGTGCATGCTACCTCTTAGGTCAGTCTCTGGTAAGTATAATATTCATTTTCATCGTTTCTCAGATAATCTCAAATGTTGGTTTTTACCTTGTAAAAACCAACATTTAGACATAAAGTCATGAATGGAAACTTTTTTTTTAGTTTAAATGAACTATAGCAGATTATTATCCTCATTAAAACTGATTTTCTCAACTGTCCTAATATTTGTTTGGTCCAATAGCATCAAACTGTTGCCCTTTTGTTGGAAGTAGAATAAAAAAGGAAAAGGTTTACCTTCCTGAAAATTTATTTGGCCAAATGTGAAAAGTAATCTGGATTTGAACAACCTCACCAAAAACAGCCCAATCTGGCAACACGGTTTCTGAAGAGCGAGGCGTTTCGCGTCGCTGTAAATCAATCTGATCTTGATCTGCTTTCCCTCACACCAGACTGAAGAGTCTTCAAACCCCAGGAAAATGTGCCAGTTATCTGCAGTTCTCATCTGAAGCACATTATCCAGCATAAATTGTGCCTCAGACTTGATTAGATGGGATTACATTAGTGGCACTGTGTAATTCTCCATGGGTTGTTAGAGCAGAATGAAACTGGTGGGAAAGTGTTTTCCTTTCACCGGAATAACAGCCGATTCCCGACGAGGACGGAGGCGAGCGGGACGCACCTTTGTCTGGAATTTCTTCTTTCTGTCTGGCAGTAGGTAGATCTTCACGTACGGGTCGGAGAAGCCGTTGGCGTCCTTCGCTGGCAGGTCCAGAGCTTTCAGTATCTTAACCACCAACTGCTCCGTGCTGAGACGAGGAGAAAGCAGAACCGAATTATCCTTAAAGTAAGACATGGAGTCAGGGCTTGCACAACAAACACGCTGAGACTCAGACAGGATTAGCCCACACACAAACACCGAAACACCTGTGCTGAACTCGTGCACACAAATTGGAGTGGGAGGGTTGAGAGTCTCTGGAGAAGAAGAGACGGAGCAAGAATAGCCGGCGAGTGTTTGTGTGCGCCATCTCCAGAGCTGCACCGTCAGCAGAGCTAAATGAAAGCTCAGTGAGCGCAGAAGTACAGAGAGGCATACAGAACGGAGCTCGTTTATTATCTTTAACGTCCTGGGATGAGCCTTACGGATGCACCGGTCCACTTTATCCACTTCTGATACCCATTAGTATCGACCGACACCGATCCGATACAGAAAACCAGGCTGACCTGACTGAAAACGCTTTTTTCTTAAATAAAACACAGACAGAAATGCATTAAATTACAAATTTATCTGATAACTCTGCACCAAAACAGGAAAACTTTACAGGATTTGAACCAGGTGGAGGTAAAGCCACATGAGGAGTTTTGGGTTGAACATATTTATAGACATGGTTTTCTTTATCTTAAATGCAAAATGTATGTATGTTTGTACAGTTTTGACTCAATTACTGCTCTAAATACGTTGTTCTTTCAACAATTTGTATTTTTTTTGAGTTGGTATGCTCCAGTTAACGATTAATCGATTGTTTCATTAACCGATTAATCACGATTAATCATTTCAGCCCTAATCTAAAGAAGACTTTGTTCACGGATAAGACTCGGAATGAGTTAAACTGAACTCTGAAAAAGCCACTCAGACCAGAAACCTTCAGGTGGCGGATCACGACGTTGTGCCCTGCAGCTATTCTTACTTCTCCACACAAAAACATGTTGAAAGGTTGCACACATTAGTTAGAAATTGGACAATCAGCAGCCTTTGTATAAAAATAGCCTAACAGCCCCTTTCTGCACAAACACACAAACAACTGAGCAGGACTGAAAATATCTCTGTCACGCAAACAAACATAAGATCTCCGCGCGGGCCGGCGCTGATGTCTGCACATACGAACGCTTCGCCGTTTATTATGCATTTAATTACCAGATGAAGATGAGGACAGCTCGGAGGCTTTTAATCAGACCTCGTTAGGCTGCGTCTCCATGTGTTAACGAGGCTGTCAGCACTTCATTTGCTGCTGTACAGGGGGCCGGCGTGAGCTGGAGGCTGAGGCCGGATCAGCGGGGCAAACGGCAGACAGTGACCTGCAGCAGCTGCAGCGTCCGCAGGATGTGTGTTGACATCAGAGCCGTGGAGAATCTGGACAAGCGTTTACCCCCGACTCACATCCAGCCACATAAACACGCAGTCAGGTCGAATCAAGATGATGCTGCACCATGCTGCGCTTCAGGATAAATGTTTACGTTTTCTAATTAATTAACCAGATTAATAATAACTGGAAAGAAAAGGAAACTAATGCAATGAAGCATCTTTATTAGCAGGGTTTGTAGATTTCTTCCACAGGAAAATTCAAGCAGGAGATAAAAACAAAGACTACTTTAATTTACTTTAATATTAATTTATTGCTTTTTTAACAGTGTTTTATGATTGTATTCTAGATTCTACAGCTAAACTTTGTTTTGAAACATCTCTCACACCCTGTACACCTGACTGATCCCAGAACAAAACGCTAATTAAAAATAAATAATATAACATTATCATATAAAATATAAATCTACGTTTACTTTATTTCAGTTACACATACCAGTAAGTAATTTAACTCGTAGGAATAATAAATATTCATTACATCAGTGGTGTTTTTTTTTTTTTTTTTTTTTTAATTTTTTTTTCTTCGGAGGCCAAAACTGACAAAATTCATAAAACTCAAAATGCTGCTTGATAATAAGCAAAATTAATAATGAAATCCCAAAATTCTGACAAATTTAAATTACCTGCGGGCAACAAGATTCAATAAACTGACAATGTTAAACTTAGTTAATTGTGTTTTTTTTATTTTTATTTTAATGCTTGATAATAAACATGAAATCTAGATATCCTTAAAGATCCAAAACATAAAGAGGCTCCAGATTGTTGCCTTATTAAAAGAAAAACAGATCATTTCCTAATTTTGGGGTCATCAGTTGGCCAAATTTTTAGTATTTGATTTGTGTTCAGGGGCCAAACAAAATCATTTTATGGGCCAAAAATGGCCCCCGGACCACAGGGTGGACACCCCGGCACTAAAACAATCCAAACAAATCGGGTTGGAGCCGGGCAATAAATCAATAACAATATCAATCAATCAATCAATCATGATAGACACATGATAGATATTGTCCAACAGAGTGTTTAATAATTTCACTGAACTCCGATCCAAAACCGCACAGCATTCTGGGAGATGTAGGCAGAGGAAAGACCTTAGCTGCTCAACTTCACGGCTAGCTAAGCTAAGTTGGTGGAATCAACTCACTCACTCTTTGGTTACCTAGCAACTCACTCACTCTTTGGTAACCTAGCAACAGCCTGTTAGCTTGCCCTGTTCCAGGTTTCACCTTATAACTGCTTAAAAATAAAAATAACTGTGTGGAGTTGAAGGAGAAAACGACAATAACAGTTTGAGATATTAAAACAAAAATCTAATCAATAATTATTGACTGATATGAAACACTCATATTGTGATCAGTTTTTCAGCCGTATCGACCAGTTCCAATAAACGACCTTCAAGCAGAATATATTTTCTTTCTGTGTATGTTCTCTTAATCTTAAGACTTGTATTTGATTTGTTTATGCCAGAATTTTAAAAATATATCTAAAAATGTTCTCGCTACATTTTCTGGTATTTAGAAACAGTTTGTTCATTTTAACCAACACTAAAACACGACTTTTTATAGGCACATGAAAGCATCTTGTTTTAATGATAATGTTTTCCAAATTAATGCAAATTATAACATTATATTGCATTTATTACAAAATATCAAACACTTTCCAAACCTTGGAAACATAAAATTGAAATTAAATCATTTTTAAGGAGCTGTGTTGGAGAATAACTCAGGATTTCCTGATGTCTCCTCAGAGTGAATTCTCCTATCGCAGCTCCAACAGGCTCCGCCACCTTATTCCTGGCAGACTCACGGAAAGCTCGCCGTTATTCCCGCTGTGGAAACGTGTCAGCTTTTAATAGAAATGCGTTTCCCGGAGGACTGGAGCAGGTCTGACATCGACTGTTAGCGGGTCTCACACATTAACGCACCAATCCCATCGCCAGGTGACTGTTTGCAGCAACGCCAACCTTTGTTTTTTACTCCATACCTACAGAGACAGACGTCATCTGCCGACTTAAACGAGACGCAGGAATGGTTTTGTTTTGCCGTTTCCTCCATTAGGCTAATTCTCTGTCCTTTGATGATGCGTCGGCAGGTTGCTGCTCAAACCGGCTCACATATATAATTCATGAATGAAGCGGTCGCACCCTTTCATTTCTCCAACCATCAGCACTTTCACGCTTTGCAATGTTTCAACATGTCAGGGCAGGAAGGCATGCAGAGCTGCCCCCCCCCCGCAGACCCGACATGCCCTTCAGATCCAGCAGGGCTGAGAACCGCGATCACCATTTAGCAGATCGGTTCGATAACGATCAGTGTGACACCAACACCTCAGCCCAAAAGTAAAGGATGTTCAGCATAAATACGTCACATACTGATGGCATAACCGTTATGGTCAGGTTAGCATTAGCTTCACCGCAGATAGACAAAAATTTAGTTAATTTCCATCAAGTAATTCTGAAATTTTGAAATTAATCTCTGAGATTTTCTAGAAAAAATATGAAAATTTCTGAGCTTCAAAAGTCAAACAGTTTCTGAGTTGGCAAAGTTGAACATTTCTGACTTTTCAAATTGAGAAATGTCAATTTAAGCTCAAAATTTAAGTTTTTTTCTAAAGAAATTTGAGTTTTTGAGCTCCAAAAGTAAAGAATTTGCAAAAAAAAAAAATGAAATTGAGATTATTCTGAGACAATTCCTAGAAAAAACTTATAAATTTCTGACAGTAAAGAATTTGTAAGAAAAAAACCCTGCAGAAAGTCTGAGATTAGGCTCAACATTTCAGAATTTCTTCTAGCAAATTTTAAACTTTTCAAACTCAGAAATTTGAAACGTTTTTTCTAGAAACTTTATGAGCTCAGTCTCAAACTTTCTGAGTAACAAACTCCATTGGCAGATTATTTCATTTATGGTAAAAATGTATTAGTTAAATAATGAGACTAATATCTTTTTCAGTAAATATTAATTATTGAATAAAACAACCTCCCATTTCCTGCTGAAAATTAATTATATGTCAGTTTTGTCTTATTTCATGTGTACTAAGATATTAGCACTAGAAACTAGACCAAATTTACTTTGCATGTTGTGCTTTTGCATGCAGGCCTTTTGCTGACCAACTATTTGAACCTTTCTGGTGGAAAACCCAGAACGGTTCCCTAGCTTTGCTGCAGAAACGATCTCCTCCTTCAGGAGCGTTCAGGGATTCAGTCCTGCTGCTTCGCGCTCACATATCCATCATGGCCGCCGTGTCAGAGACTCCTTTGATCTCTGCTTGGTGTAACTGTGGAGGTCAAACTTCTTCAGTCATTTCACACATGACTCCGATGCAAGAGGAAGGAACCTCGGGCCGAAGGACGAGCCAGTGTCGGTCTGAATACGTTTCAAGACTCCCACTGTGTCTTTTCAGATTATGTTTTCATGGTTTCTCCATTAACATGAGACCCTCTTTAAACCACTTCTGCTCCTTCACACGTAACCCAATCAAGCAAGTCGGTGAAAGCTTTCACAGCGCTGCAGGGCATCGCAGAATCAAAGGGAGTGGCTGGTGTTGTGCATAAAATGTGGGTCGGACTTCCAGCATTGTCTTAAAAACGGCAGACAAGCCGCGGTTCGCACTGGAAAATCCAACCCGTTTCAAGGTAATCAAACTTTTCCAGCACCACACTCACTGACCGTCACTGTTTCTAATGAGAATATTCAACAGGGGTAAGGTTAAGTAAAATATAACAAAACTTTATGCTTTGAAAAGTCTCACACAGCATAAACAACAAACTGGTCCGAGAAACTAATTTACCAAAAAATGCCCCAATTTCAACAACGTTGTTTAACGTATGAAATATGAGACGATCAATAAGTTATTGATCCATGAGAAATAACAAATATCCATCACATTAAAACAGATGATGTTAATGACATTCCTGCTCAAATTAAATGCTTAAACATAATATACAAAGAAAGTTACAAATAAATCTCTAAAAACATGTTCTTGGTAAGCTGTGTAGCATTTAAAACTGAGCAATAAATATTAAAAACAGAAAAAAACTTAGTAAACAGAAATAGGTTTGGTAATTTTAACTAACCAAAAACAAGAAAAGTTTAGTTTGAAGCAACTTCAGACTTTTCAGGAAAAATTTTCAAAATTCTGAGAAAAAAAGAAAAATTTTAATTCTGAGGGAAAAAACAACAACTCTGTCTTCTGATCTCAGATATTTAAAGTGAGACTTCTGAGAAATAAATTCATAATTCTGAGGGGGGGAAATCACAATTCTGAAAAAATAAAATAAAATAAAATTTAAATTCCAAGGCAAAAAAAAAAAAAAAAAAAAAAACAAAATTTTGGAAAAAAAAAAATCTAAAAAAAAA